CTCAAACCTCCGACCTACCTTATCTAGTTTATTGGGTAAAAACACATCCACCACCTTACCCCACCGCCGGAAAATTTTCCATAGAGTACCGACCTCAAGTGGCTCCGGAATATTCGTGAAAAAGTACGATGTTGAGGAGCTTAAGACACGCCCCAAATGCCCTCTAAAGCCTTTGTTTTTGTACCCACACCGTAGCTCCACCGATTGCCCTCCACCAACACCTCTCTCCCAAACTCTTCCATGGATACTGTTGTCCCCTACTCTCATGCTGCCTTTTTTCCCGGTCATCTTTCTAATCCCCTTCAGTGACACCAGCCGAAGCTTAACAGAGAGTAAATAATAGGTTTCTACCATAATCTAAAGACAACTCTATACGGCCTTAGGGTTCAACTTAACAACCAAAGCTTCCAACTTTCTCTTAAGCTTTTAACTTTGAAGTTTCCACATGGCTATAACTTTGTGAATAGAAAGCAGGCAACTCGAAAGGGGAAGACAAATCGACACCAGAAAAATACATAATAAACCAGAATCAAAGCAACTAAAAATTATCGAGAATTTGCCCTGTTTCAAGTGTTGAAGCTGAAGAATGGAGACACATGGCCCTTTCCTAGATCTCGCAAAGCCCTAATCTGACAGTAGACCTGCGCTCACACAAAGGCTCCCTCCTCCCAGAGGGCTAATCAAAATCAGAGCCGTCAAAACTCTCATCATCCCCGTCACGTCATTTGCCTCCTCTTTGGTTCCAATTATCTTTGAACTTGATTACTAACTATATGAGAAATCAACTTAAAAAGCACGCACATTTTTTTCAGTGTTAAGCATATCCATAAATATGAGTGTTGGGTAATTTAAATATGATTCTAAGTTCCACATTGAATAAAAATGAGAAAGTTGAGCAACATAAAGAAGTATGATCCATAACTTAATGTCTTAAAGTTTTAGATTGAGAGTGGTGTCAATCTCATATATGGATTTGACTCATGTGTCATTGACATTAGTGTTGTTCTCCCCAGTAAATCCTCTTCGAAAGACCCAATAACTAGTATCAGAGCCGAAGGTTGATCGGCAATTTAAGAGTGATCATTGTATCAAAAGTCTTCCTGACAAAGCGGGTCAGGTAAGCGTGTCCCGTTAGAGTGAACAACGGTACATGGAAGGGTCACTAGTGAGCTCGAGAGGATATACTAATATGGAAGAATTCACACTTAAAAAAGATATTGTTGGGAATCCAAGTGTAATTTTAAGTCTCACATTGAGTAAGAATGAGAAAATTAAACAATATATAAGGAAGTATGACCCATAACTCAATGCCTTAAGGTTTTGGGTAGGCAAGACAACGGGGCGGGGCAGGGGCAGGTTTTGCCTCCCCGTCCCATACTTTTTTAACCATCCCAGCTGGATTTCGGGTTCCCGTCCCCAATCTATGTTATTTTTAAAAAAATAATTACATTTATAATAAATTAATTTTACTATGTATTTTTATATATAAATAAATATTTGTAATTTTATAATTTATAATTATTATTAATTAAATATACATTTTAATTTATTATATTTATATTAAAATATGTATGTAAAAAAATATTTTATCATTTTTATTTATATATACATACATATATATATATATATATGGAATATTTATAACATTATTATTATCATTATTATTATTATTATTATTATTATTATAACACTGCATTTAAATATTTGAATACTTATAATATTATTATTATTATAATATTATATTCAAACATTTAATTATATATATATTCAAACATTTAATTATATATATAAGTTAATTCATTTTTAAGTTGTCATTTAAAAATATGAAATATATAATTTATAAGGAAATATTTAATAAGTTAATTCTTATTTAATTAGTTTGAAGTAATAAAAGTTTAAGTTATCAATTCCTTTTAATCCTTTAAAATTCAATTATTTTATTAAGATAAAATTTGATATATGATAAATAAGAATAATAAAATAAAAAAATATGACATAATAAAACCTAATAAATATAAATTATAAATAAAATAATATTAGTTATTACTAAGATTTATGTAAAATATTTAGAAAAAGATAAAGAAAAAAAATTAACTTTGTGTTCATCAAATTGGTTGAAAAGATTGAAAAAAAAAACAAATTTATGGGAGAGATTAAGGAAATGTGAAAAACTGAAAGGTAAGAGAGAATAATGTAATAAATTATTTGATATAAAAGATTAAAAAAGACAAAAAAATTAAAAAGTTGGTAGAAAAAAAATAAAAATTGGTGAAATATAAAAAAACGACCTTATATGTAATAGAAAAAGAAAATGAAATACTTTTAAAATATTTATATTTAAAATTTAAATTTAAATATAAATTCGGGGCGGGGATGAGGTTGGGGTCGGGGCCGGGATTGCATTACTCATCCCTGCCCCCGCCCCTAACTTTTTAAAAGGAGGAAAACCCGAACCCGCCCCCAGTCAACTCGATTTTTCCCGTCAAACTCGGAGCGGGGACGGGTCGGTCCCCACGGGTTTAGGTTTAATTGTCATCCCTAGTTTTGGGTTGAGAGTGGTGGAGTGAACGACGGTACATGGAAGGGTGACTAATGAGCTCGAGGGGATGTACCCATGTAAAAAAATTCACACTTGAGGGGAAGATGGTTGGAAATCCAAGTGTGATTCTAAGTCTCACATTGAGTAAGAATGAGAAAGTTGAGCAACATATACGAAAGAATGACCCATAACCCAATGTCTTAAAGTTAGTAAACTCAACTTGTAGATTCGTAAGAGTTTACTTCATATGAAAAATATCAATTTAATAATAAATATAATAATATTAATTTCTCATTATTAAAATAAATAAAAAATAATTGAATTTGTACAACAAGTATAATCAAAATAAAAAAAATTCTGAATATCTAAAATCTCTCCATCTATTCAAAACCCTAAAATCTCAAATCTTTCAATCCCTCAATCTAACTTATCTCATTTATTCGAAAATCTTAAAATCTCAAATCCCTCAATCCCTCAATCTAACCTAGATGATGGTGAGCAGCGGCGAGTAACTGCAAGGAGCGAGATATGATATTGTGAGAAGAAATGAGGAGAGTCGAAAATATCCAAGTTTTTCTTTTCCTTCAAATTCAGTGACTCACATCTAACTCGTAATTTTACTCATAGTCCTCCGAGTTTGACTATGGGTTAAGTAACCGTGTCTCGTTAGAGTGAACGATAGTACATGGAATGACTACTGATTAGTTAGAGAAATTCACACTTAAGAGTCCAACATTGAGTAAAAATCAGAAATTTGAGCAATATATAAGGAAAATTGACCCATAATCCAATGTCTTAAGGTTTTAGGTTAAGAGTGGTGTTAATCCTTATATGGGTTGAACTTGTGTCTCATTGGTGTTAATCCCTTATATGGTTGTGGGTCAAAGTGGTCTTTGTATCGAAAATATTTTTGATAAAGTAGGTCAAGTAAGCATGTCTCGTTAGAGTGGAAGGGCTACTGATGAGTTGAAGGAATTCACACTTGAAAGAGAGATTGTTGGGTAATCCAAATGTGATTCTAAGTCCTATATTGAGTAAATATGAAAAGTTGAGTAATATATAAGAATATATGATCCATAACCTAATACCTTAAAATTTTAGGTTAAAATTAATATTAATCACTTGTATAAATTAGATTCATGTGTTTATTGGTGTTATTCTTCAAATAAATCCAAAGACTGAATAACGAGGACAAAATTGTTCCTCCATCCTTACATATATTTACGCACCAAAATCACAAGTGTTTTAAGTTCAAGTCACTTTTGTTTAGCAGTTTGAGCTGAGCACTTAATCACCTAATCTACAACCCTTCAAACAGTGAGTTGCATAATGTAAATGTATTTGTATAAGTTGGTTTTGTCTTTCGGATTGGTCCTAACCCTTCAAATACTAAGTCCGTAAGTGCTTTAGTTTTAAATTAGTCATGTCTATTCTTTGAATTGGTCACTTAATCCAATATTTCACAACCCTCCAACCAGAGTAAGCTAAAAGATATTTATGTCTTAATTTAATTCGATTTTGTCTATCCTTTTGTATGGACCACTTAGTCAAATAATCCAATATACTAGAGCGATCGTTCAAGTATTTCTAATAAAAATTAATTATACTTATAAGACAATGTAAAGAATTATTATATTGCTAGACAAAACCAGTCATTTCAAAAAACAGACAAATATAAATATTAAAACGTTTTTATAAAATCAATAAGAAAATCTCGTTTATTTTATTTTCTTATACAAAGTGTTCAAATGAGACTGATATTATAGTTGTCATTATATACACAAAGGAGCAGTCCATAAAAATGCATTACGTATAGTAATTGTTTTTCCATTCTGGGATTGGATCATTATTATCCCATCTCTCGCTTTTTATATATATATATATATAAATATTGTGCGGCTTGCTTGTTTCGCGCCGAAATCTTCTAAGGACATAGCTGTAATTTACTACATTACTCATAAATACATTTTTCTTATTAAAATTGCATTTCAGTCCGTATATGTTATTCATCTATATACACTGCACAACATAAGAGAAAGAATTTTTTTGTCTATATTCATCAAACGTTTTGCATCGTAATATTACTTGAAATACGTTTTAGTTTAAATTTAACAGAAAATATTAACTAATAAAAATTCAATAAGATAAGGTTTCAGTTTTCAATTAATTTAATTATATTTATTGTGAATTTAAAGTTCTTTCAATGCTAAAATTTTGGAAACAATTTTAATTCATCAAATTCATCAAATACTAAACTTAATCTCTTCAAATAAGAATTTAAATTTAAACATTACAATTAAAAAACTATGGTTGAAATTGAAAATTATAGTAAAATGTTCGAATAGGGTTTAGGATAAATTGTATTTACATTGTGGAATAAAACAAAAGAAAAATTGATTGGGAAGGGGGTTTGTGGATTCGATCATTGTATGACACATTGAGCCAATAGGACGATCCCAACTCACAGCACCATCGATAACATTGCCTTCTTTGGAAGGAATCCTTGAGCATCTAGAACGAAGCCACGTAGCCTGGTGCCCTCATTCTTGATTGGCCCCAGCAAAAGAAAATCCATGGAGTATCGTGCCTATAACCTCTGGTCGTAGGATATAGTAGTCCTGAACCATTAATATTTGAATTTTGAAGTTAGAGAGTTCAATAATTCGGGCATCGGGTGAGGGATGCGGTGTGGTTGTGTGGACCCCACATGCATGCAACAACTTAGTACAAATGGAGGAATCGGAGCCATTGGTTCTGCGTAGGTTGTGATTGGTTCCAACTTTTGTAGTACAAGTAAATGACGTGTTGTGCATTGGTGGTGAAGCAGGCCTGTGAGAGTAACATAAGGTACGATTTGGTGAGAGTGGAGGATCTGATGGTCAGGTCATAAGTACCATTATTGAGAGTGTATTTCACTGCACCCAGCTCCAAACGTTTAGCACTGTTGGCGGAATAATGTTGATGATGAGGCTATGTTTGGGGATCAGAAACCATCTTTATTTTTGTGGTGTGATTGAATTTGTACCTTCCGCATGAATAAAGGCTCTTGCCATACCCCTTGCGTGGCCCTCTGGATAGCCAGCCATCACAATTCATTACTGTGTACTTGTTGAGCATGTGAAAAGAGAGTGCTGAGGTGAGGGATAATTATCACAACGGGGTGGATTCAGCTCAGCTCATTCCCACCTCATCTTTCAATAATCTATTTTATATGTAATACAAAATTTATAAATTAGTTTATACATCAACCTAATTTTGATTTATAAATATATATTTGGGTGGTAAAACAAAAATATGATATTTATAATAAAAACAATAATAATGACGATAATAATAGTCATTTTTAATAGAAATGGATAGTGTGGAAGTAAAAAGAAAAAAAATTCCTTTATATTATCTTTTAACACATTCTCAGCAAAAAAAGTTTCTTGAAAAATATAATAAATAATACATCAAAGAAAATTGTATTGTATAAATAATACACCGAACAATTAATAACGCATTCTAATATTGTTTCATAAGACCCTCTTAAATGAGAAATGAGATAAAAAAGAAGAAGAAGAAGCTAGAAACTAAGATTTAAGCTCACATAAAATATGAATAATTTTTATTGAAAAGCTTAATTAATTATATTTTTACTAAAACTCTCTCTTTCAATTACAAGTTTTTAATCCATAAAATAAACTCTGAGACTCTACTTAAAAAGGATTAAATTCGTTATCAGTTATAGCAATGACTTGTTAATAAATCAATTTCATGTAATTATTTTTTTTACACGTCATCCCTTATAATGTAAACTAATGTTGTATTAAAAGGGTGGAAATAAACGTGGTCGTCATGGTAATGATAAATAATGATAATTTGGTCTTGTAGATATTTTATTTTATCTAAACTTATCTTCCAGTGTGTCCACTACGTCAAATTGAATTGGGTAAGTTAAAACATAAACCTATAAATTCAGTTTATCAGAGAGAGATGAGTTAGGTCCATCCATCGGTTTTGTTTTTTGTTTTTGTTTTTTTCATACATTTTTATGGTTTAGAATTATTTTATTGATAAATCCACCCAATTCACTTCAGGTTTCAATATTTTCTACTGAACACGATCATATTTTCTACTGAACACGATCATTCTGTCTATTCAGTTTGAATATGTAACAAGTTAGGCCATTCTCTTATCCACACACACATATTTATTTAAAAAATTTCTACTTCAATTTATATAAACTAAATTGAATGATTATGTATCAACATATTACGTCCATCTTTACCTCAATTTTAAATATAGAGATCTTAAAAGGTTTTAAATTTTAAAATTAGGTTATATATATTAGAGCATGCTGATGTAAGATGATATTGAGATTTAGGATATGCATATAAGATCCTGATTTAATGTCATTGGATCCACCGAAAACAATAGTATTTTAACCAAATTCGCATATTATATATTCCATTCACAACAATTATTTATATTTATTTTTATTTTATCTTATTGCATCATTTTAGTGAAGGCTATAACTATTCTTTTACCTCTTTGACCCCGTGACTTTATTTGGTTTTGTTGCTGACTCACAAGTCACAAACACTTCCTTTTGGGTTCAAATCAAAGAACGAAGTTACATTATCATGTCAAGAGTGCCACTCGTTATGTGATCGTTGGTATAGAATTGTAGATTGAGATGGTAGATATCCATCAAATCAATTAATAAGTTCTGTGCTTTATGTAGTTTACCAGTGAGTCACGGATTTTGTTTGGTCATAAGTGTGATTCTGGTGCCTTGAAAATGAACCTTTTAACAATATATATAGTAAACAAAATGTGGAGAATGAATACAATAAAGTAAAATAATGAAGAAAAAAAAAAAAGAACACTATTAATTATTTGTCATAACTTGTATATAGTTCACATACAATACAAGTCTTTTTCAAATGCATAGGGTGGTATCTTTAAGCCTTATTCTAATGAATGAAAACTGAACCCTGTACCCTAAACATTTATACACATTCGAATAAAGTGATTAATATGTTTCCTTCACAAGTTAATCACCACGCTTTCACAATTATACTTTAAAAAGTTTTGTTAGTGATGTAATGTGTGTGGATGAGATAATTTATGCGGGATAATCAGAAACAGATTGAAGATATATAATATTGAAATTAATTAAAAACACATCAAATTCGATACAATGGTCTCAATTGTATTAAAAGTATTTATTTATTTATCATAAATTTTAGTTATAGAAAGACTAACATTTATCTATCATTCACGTGAATGTATGGGCTAAATTAGTACTGTATTATTTTTGAAAAATTATAAAATAAATAACACATAAATACAATAATATTTCCATTGTTATCAATAAACGTACATAAGCTGAAAATATAAAAAAATAACAATAATAAAAACCGCTTCAATTTTTAACATTTTGGTTATCTCAAGAACACCAACTCTATCTATAATATATATTAAATAGAAAGAAAAAAATAAAAAATGGCATATAACAGATGCATATATACCCCACATTTGGACTTTGAAAATTGGATTTTCCTTCTAGTTCTCTGAACTCCATCTTCATGTTGAATTGAGTCACCCATGAAAGAACGTCTCTTTCAACAGTTGACGGCGTTATTAAGAAATCTAAGAAATAAATAATAAAGAAATTAGACAATAAAGCAAGTTGCATGCTATGCTTAAGATAAAGACGTGGATAAATTGTGTGAGAAGAAAAACAAAAATGAAAAAATGATGCAGAGCACATGCTGATTATGAGCAGTGTTTTGCTTGCCATGTTTAGATAGAAAGGAGAGTCTCCATCCATAATTAGAGCATAAAAAACCAACCAGATTTGGACACATGAAAGCAACTAGAATCTCCGGAACACACTTTGGAGATCAGAATATATAAATTGCGTGAGGTATCCTATTCTTGGTGCGATAATATTTTATCTTATTCTTAATTAATTAACTAATTAATTATAAATCTAATAGTTTGCTATTTTTGACACCTGTAGGTATGCACAAGTATTAAAGAATTTTCCTCCTGTGGTTTTGGGCAGATGTCAGCATATGTGGTAAGGGTTAGAGGTATATTATATGTAGATAGGGATGGGTCGTGTTTGTTTCCACATTTAAGCAAGAAATCTTGATTCTAGAAGCCCACATCGTATAGAGCTTTCATACAGTAAAACTTCTTCAAACAGTAACCTCGTAGATTTGCCTAACTTATATTCTTTTATTTGAATCGTTAATAAAATTTGTTTAAAACTAAATATTTATTTTAAGAACTTTCTTTCAAAATAACCATAGAAAATATTAATTCGAAAGTTACTTGTTTACCTGTACTCGTATTTTATTGTAGCTGGTCAAAAAAGTAAGAGAGAGTATTTTGATGACACAAAGAAAGAAAAAAATAAATAAATTGAAAGGAGGTGTCACAAAAACTTAAAATTAACGGAGACTTATCGTAAGTTACGCATGGTTTTACTTCAAGCCCACGTCACAGCTCTATGCAACTTTAGTAACTTGGGTTGAGTTCCACTTTTATTTTTACTATCATAATTTTTTTTTATCATATTCATTGGTTTGATATTTTTGTCCATCATATATTATCCAAAACTACTATATATTTCACAAGTATATTAATAATAGTGATAGAGAAGTTTTGTTTTGTATCTTATTCTTCAAAAATATAATTAGAATTAAAATAATAATTTTTATTAAATGTAGGTGTAGTGACTTGACCCACGATCCAATTGGCAATCCATCTATTATTTTCAAAAGAATTATATTTTAATTAAATCGATAGAAAATTAGAAAAACAATTCAAAATTTATAAAATCAGTTGAATTTTTTAATTTAATCCATTTTAGTAAAAATAAGATAAAATAAATTTTTCAAAAAACTTTTTTATAAAAAATATAATATTTTTAGATTTTTTTTATCTCTCATGAACTATATCTACTTTAACTAATAATTGTTTTGATATATTTTATTTTAATTTTATGATTATTAGCTATTAATTTTTAATTTTTATTGTATTTTGTATTCGTGATTATTTTTTATTATATATAAATTATTATTATTATTAATAAAATTATTATATATTTATTGTATTATTATATTATAAAATATTTAATTTAAACCTTAATTTATGTTTTCGCCCTACCGTTTTAAAAAGTGTAATGTGCTAAAAAGAAATTGGTGTTTTAAAATTAAACGTAGATTTTTTAATTTTTTTTTACGGTATACTTTTTTTCGTGTTATATATATATAATTTTTTATGACGTTTAATTTTATCTAAAAGATCATTATTTATTGATAGTTTATATCATATCATTTCATAAAAAATAATTACATATGTTTTATTCTTTATCAATATATAATTTTAATTATATTTTTTTTATCTTATTAAAAAAAATAATTTAAATCTATCGTCATACAATTTTAACTAACTAAAAAATCATTTATAATGTATTTATATTTATAACATAACATATAAATAAAAGTAATAACCAACGCAATAATCATATGAGTGATTTGAAAGTGAAGTTGTTTAAATTAAGAAAAATTACGTAGAGAAAAAAATTACAAGAATTTATGAGTGAATTGATTAATGTAAATAATAAAAAATATTTTAATAAAAAATTATAAAATGACTAATGATAATAATTATTATTATTTTAATTATTATAATAATAATAAAACAATTATTAGTATTACTATTAATATATTAATAATAATAATAATTATTATTAATTCTTATTTTAAATATTATAATTACATAAATTATTAATATAATAATAATAATTAATTTATATATTTATTATAATAATAATAATTATTATTATTAATAAAATCTATTTTATTATTATTATTATTATTATTGAAAATAAGAATTGATTCTTATTTTCAATAATAATAATAATAAAATCAATTCCATTATTATTATTATTATTATTAAAATATATATGTATATATATATATATATATATATATATATATTTAATAATAATATAAAAAATTGAAGTTCATTAAGGAAAAATCGAATTTTACCATTGAAAAATTGATTGTCATGAAAGAATCTATTCTTAATAATAAAGAATCTATTCTCACATTTGT